AAGTACATAACTCATATAAAAAAAAACATGAAAACAAACACACACACCAACAAACACACCTACACACAAAAATATAAAAACATGGCACAATGTACAAGAGCCAACAGTATTTAAACCGATACTACATTGAATATACGAAACATTTATAATGTCAATACATGTCAATTTCGTACACAATATAACATAAAAAATGGGCATTTAGAATAAATAATTTACTACATTTACAAAACTATGAATTGCGCATTTCATAATGATTTTTTGTTAACGAGTTAAAAAATTCATAAGCAAAACAGAAATTTGTCTTAAAATAATCAAACTTCAACTTTTAATATCTTTAGGTGAGGTTTACGAAAAAATTGTAAGAGACCTTTTTTGTAGAGCGTTCCATTTTCTACAAGTATATGATGAGAGATATTTTTAACGAACAGTTGATAGAAAGATATGAATTTTTTTTTCTGATACTGAGGAAAAAATAGAAAACTGTATAGCAGAGAACCTTCCTATTAAAATTAAGAGCTCATATTTGGACAGAATTTTCTAGAGGTGTCTAGAAACCTATTTTTAAGAGTATAAAGTAAAAAAAAATAGTCGATTTTTTTTACCCACCCTAGTCAGTATGTAATGCGGTTATAAACAACTGTCAATGTCCAGGTAATAAACTTTCATTCAAGTAAGAATTGTATGCACATCAGTATGTTTGAATTTCAATTACTATAATTAAAGGCGAAGGGGATTTTTGAGCCTGTTGCCATCTAGTATTCTCATTTTTAAGTTTAACATTTTGTAAATATGTAACCACAGTTTGTACCCTTCTAAAGACAAACCTATTTGAATGTGCAGTTCTTCGCCTTTTGTTGCTGAGCGGTCCGAGAAAGAACATCTTTGAAAGGTTCTCACTCTCTTTTAGTATGCTCAAAACTGAAAAAATGTTCATTAACCTTGAAAAAAAAGTTAATTTTGCTGTTGATACTAGGTGTTGATAAGTTTGGAAAATATTTTTTAAATAGTAGGCAGAATACAGCAATAATTAAAACTTTATTTTTATACACATTCAAATACAACAGCTTTCAAATAACACAATAACAATACAATAATGATAGTTCCTCTCAAACAACACAATTTTTGTTTAATATCTAAGGCCTACTATTGCTGTGTTACCTTCATTTAGTTCCTGCCGACTGCAGATTATTTTCCTCGTTTTTGCTGACTGTTCGAAAACGGCTACTCCAATAAAGAAATGTGACATAACATTTTCTATTTAGAGTTTGAAGGTTTGTCAAATTATGTTAAAAAATACAGTGTTGCCATTCAAAAAAATATCGTTTTAGTAGTTACTGCAGAAATCTGGCAACACGGGAAAGAATTATTTGTAGATTTTTCTTAATTATTTCCTACAACTTTGCATTTGGAAGTTCTAGTCTATCACTTCAAATAAAAAAGTTGGCCTGTCAGGTTTTAAAAAAATAGCACTGTATATTTCTACTGTTTTTTCATTTTAAAATATAGAAACTGCAATTTTAAAAAGCTTTCATCGTATCAGTGTGGTAATCCAGTAGGTATTAAAAAAAACATTTAATTTGAAAAAAAAATATTTGTACCAATTAAGTACTTCACATTTTAGGATTTAAACATCATTCAGCAAGAACAAAATATAGCAAATAACTGTTGTCAATTAATAATAAAGTCTCATCCAGTAAATATTGCTTTGGGAGTACCGAAAGAGAGGAAGAACTCCCCAAATACAGCCAAAAGCACACCTTCCAGTAGGTTTAAATTATGACGCTTGTGTCTAATTTCGTTCTGTTTTTCTCCAGTGACATTCAATTCAGTCAGCCAGGTGTAAGACCCTTGTTGTCCAGCGTTTCACTCCCAACATCCGACCAAGTGGCTCCTACGGAACTACTAGTAGGAACCGTTACACCTCCAGTAGCAGAATCCTATCCTCCCCATTGGCCGCAGCTTAAGAGCGACTTACAATCGAAGGATAACATTGCAGCGCTTCAAGAACTCGATCACTTGACGAATAAAAAACCGCAGTTGCTCGAAAGCGTTTCCCAGTTTCTATACAGTTTAATAAGCTCGCCGAACGGCTCGGTCAGATCGTTGGCGTTGCTATTAGTCATCAGGTGGTTGAAGCACAATCCAAAAGCGGCAACCGAGGCGTTGCCTACGGTGCTGGCTTGTTTGGATAGCGGTAACGAAGACGTCGTTAGTAGCGTGTTGGATAAGCTCTCGGAATTAGTGGCCGTTATGCAAGAGTACGCTAAAATTATCTTGACAAGGGTGTTTCAGTTGGGGATGAAGTCCACGTTGAATACGACCAGTAACATTACTAAGAGTGTCAGTTTGTTATGTTTACAGTATGGCTGTTAGGGCTGTTATCGTGCTGGGTGTGAAAATGGGTGCAGCGATCCCTCGCTTAGAATAATTTTTTTTAATTTTGAATATAGGGTCATAAAATGTTGATGATATGTATTTATTTTATCCAAATAATTGTAGGAATAAAATTTATTTCATCAAACTGAATTTTATTTTCTGTATTTTCTTATTTTAATTTTTTTTGCGTAATTCGTACAGTGCCGGTATCAGGTGTATTTGCATCATTCGCCACTTTTTCAAATGGTAAATAAGTAGTGAAAACAAATTTTTATTCAAGTACAATAAATCAGAAAATAATCATTTAATAAAAATTAATTAACCACTTATCAGAAAAACCTATTCAAAGCTTTAAATTAGATAAAGGTGAACGTATGCTATACAGGATGGTTCATAACTTTACCGCCGCAGAGTAGGCACTTGCAGGGCCGCCTTTATACATAGGCCCAGGCCTAGGGTCCTACACCAGCGTTGCCACAGCTCGCTCAATCGAGCGAAATCTCGCTCATTATTTCGAATTCACTCTCTCGCTCATTTTTATCAAATCTCGATTGTTTTAGTAACCTTTACAACGATCTTTTTGTATTTTCGATTTACTTACTTAAAGCTTGGCTATTGTGGTATAGATGGCAATAGTAGAGTCATTGAAGCTTTTCACCTCCGAATTCTTTGAAACTGAACCAATCGACTTGAAATTTGGCATAGTTAGAGGAAAGGTCAATGAACATTAGTCACATAGCGTCGATTGACGCTTTCACCCTGTTGGGGGTTGACACACCTTCTCGGGGGTGGAAATTTTTTATCAAAAATAACGCTGGAAATCGATAGATTCAAATTTTGAACAAAAAATATTCGAAGAATTTTTTCGAGAAATCGATGGTTTTTTAGTTATTCACGATTGAAAACTTGAAATTTTGAGTTAAGAAAACACTTTTTCAAAGTATTTTTCGCGAATAACTCAAAAACCGCATTTTATTAAAAAAACTGTAATGAACAAAAATGTAGCTTATAAATAAACAAAGAAAGTCGTTTTTTAAAGTGTTGTAAGTTCTATACAAAGCGAAATATGGTTAGTGGAAGGGGACTTGTTTTGGAGGGAATACTCGAATCAATGTATTCAACATCAAATAATGGAAAAAGGATTAATTTTATGTGTATAATGCTCCACGAGTTTTTTTGTAGCACTCAAAAAGACCTTCAAAATGAGCACTTATAAAAGTTAAAGCAAAATTAAAGAAGTTATGGTCAAAAACAGATGGGTTGGTGGATGGAAAAATGAGCAGTAAAAGCTGTACCATTTCCATCAGAATTAAAATTAATCGTAGACCCTTTACAATCAGTTTTGTTTTAGCGTTTTTCATACGATCCTGAAGTTAGACCGGTTTAGAATGTGTATTTTTTTAATAATGTACGGTAAAATTTGAAAATGTATTTTTCATTACATATTCAAAAAAAAATGCCTTATTTATATAATAACTCTGAAACTATGAGATATGTAAAAAATAATAGACAACAAAAACGTAGCTCTTTTTTCAACAAATATTTTGCTTTTTTTTATTCCTATGGCATAAAAAATAAAGGAGATATCGCCGTTTGAAGTATCCATTTTAGTGAAAAAACGACCTGTCTCGAGCACTTCGATCCTTTCCCTGTAAAAAAACGAAGGACTTAAAAGGTTTTATATGCAAACAATCTTACAGCTTTTGAAATTATCTTTAAAATGCTTTTTTGTAGGATACTATAGCTTCAAAATTAACAGAGTTATGGTAAAAAAACCAATGACATTTTTTCGGAGTAAAATAAGCTTTCTCATTTTTATATATTATATTATACAAAAATAAGTAAAAAAATTTAGTGTGATTATATGCAGCGTAGCAATTTTTTTATTATATTTAAAAATCGATTATAATAAAAATATTTTACATTAACATTGGTAAAAGACTAGTTTATAAGAGTTGAAAATGGCAAAAGTAAAATATTCTTTCATAAACAATATAAGGGAATTTTTATTGTAAATTATTACACAATTATAGCATTCCAAAATTTAGAATGTAATTTTCTATCATATTTTTAGTATAGGGGTGATTTATAAGGGTTGAAAAGTGTTATGAGATACAAATTCTTTCATAAGCAATGAGCCTCATTGAATGAGGGATTTTTTATAATTATTTTTTGTATAGGGGTAGTTTTTAAGGGTTAAATAAAGGATCGAAAAGATCAAATATATCATAAAACATGTTCGAGAACATGGAACATTATTTAATCTTTGTGCTTGAACAAGTTTTTTTTTCAATAAAATGCTTAAAACTTAATTTTTTTCACTTAGGGGTAGTTTTTACCCCCTAAAAAACAAAGCGTCAATCGGGCTTATGTCACTTTTGAACTTGAGCCTAAAATGAGACTTATTCTAAATTTTCTTGCAAATCCATGCAGTTTCAAAGAATTCGAAGGTTACAGCTGATTTTCAGTTTCAATGACTACTACAAAGGTAATTTTATTATGTTAAGAATGTTCTATAGCAAATAAGCAACCAGCAATACATTTTTATATATAATAGAATAATAGGTCTGTTCCAACAAGTCAGGGATTGGTTCCGAACCATTCGAAATGTTAGGCCAGCCATGTTCTAAATGTGTCTTCAGTGAATATATCGCAAGAATTAGTTGGATGCACATTTCTGACGGTTCAGAACCCTGACTGTTGGAACAGACCTTTTATTAGTTTATTACACAATTTGTCTAAATATGAATGAATGCACAAATAACATACGTTCCTTCATTTTAACGCAGATTTTCTATAAAATGGACTTAGTTTCAAATTCAAATTACTTTTTGGTGTAAAGAAATTTGTAATTTACGATGCCACTTGTTCAAAACCGGTAAATTACAAATTTCTTTACAATAAAAAGTAATTTGAATCTAAATCCATTTTATGTTGAATTTTTAATTTCTTCAGAAGTCTTTAATTTATTTCAATATTCAAAAATCTCACTTTTAAATAAAATCTCGCTCGTTTTTATAGAACTTTATTTTATAAAAATACATCATAATTTATTTCTCGATTTTTTCATAGCAAACTCAATTATTATACCTTTTATCAAAACAGAGTTTGTCCAAAACGTCTGATTCGCTACACATTATTGCAAGATTTTCCATGTCTATTTAAATTTCTCTAACAATTCGATAAATTAATGCACAATCATTTTGTATTTCTTATTCTTATAAAATATAAATTTGAATTGAAATTGATTAATAATCATACAGTTTACTTGACAAACCAATCAGGTAGCAAATACATTTTCTCTGTAGATATTGCGGGTAAATTTAAATTTTGAAGAAATTTAAAAATTGAGAAAATCTTGATTTATGATATAATTCATTTTACCTACGACCACTACTGTAAATACTTAAAGACACACCATCTGCGATCAATGTAAGATTTCTATTACGTACGGTAACAAAATCACACAGCTTGGTAAAAAAATCGTACAGTTTTCCTAGCAACGGTCAATACAAACAGTATTGTATTGTATTCAGTCAATTGCCTTATTTTGGCAAGAACAAGCTTTAGTAATTTTTTTTACACCCAATTATGACTCGTTCTGTATATGAGGTAAAAATCAATATATCTTCACAGAAAATATATACTGATATTATATTCTTCGAATTCTGATAAAAAATGTGAATGTTTCAAAAATCGTAGCGGGCTTAGGACTTGCAATTTTGAGAAAGATTTTTGTTTTTCACTTACTGTACTTATAAAATGGAACATCCTGTGTGTGCTCTAGTAGTTTTCTGCTGCATGTAGTACGAACGTTATGGAAAAATAAGAAATAAATGAAATATTTTTGAAAATACTTTATTAAACATAACCAATTAAGTTTTTTTCTATACCAAATGTGTGAACAAAAACAAATATTTCATAGCAGATCACAACAAATGATCACATCAATAATAAAGTTGAAAACCTTAACGACTACTATAAATTGCAATTGGTTACCTAGAAATAAGAGGAAGAACTAAAAATTATTTACTATTTTATTTATATAATATATATTTCACCTATCATTACGGAGGAAACAAACATTACTCGCACACGCACGCACAGACTGCTTACATTTTGTTACTTTTTCGCATCTACACGATTATAACCTCAAAACCATGGAAATACAATGTGTAGGCAACGTTATAACTTATAAATTACTTAAATGAAAAATCACAGGCTGAACTAGTTTGCGAAACACTTCCCTCGCGGCGATTCGAGTAACCGAGCCTTAATTCTAACACTGAAAGGTCTATAAGAAAATATTTAACGTACAACAACCAAGTTTAAAACTATATTTTCGCCGTTAATCACTCGAATCGTCGCCGAAGAAAATGCTCATTATTATCTATTCGTTTTGTAAGGAACAACTACTTAAATTATTCACTTCATTTCGCTCAGTATCGGACTGGTGGGAAAATAAAATCCTTTCGCAGAACCGAGGGTTTGAATTCTAGACAATTTAGCATTTTTTATATTCGTCGACTTGTATATTACGCACTGGGTTGTCAATTGATATAAAAGCGTATTTCCTTTATAATTAAAAGAAATCCCTAAACATATTCTGACGCAAAACATTTGATGTCGAAAAAATCTCAAATCAGAACACATTCATAAGACTTAAGTCTGTGTCTTTACTTAAGCAAGCGAAAAGTATACAGGGTGTCTGGAAAATAATGGGTCATATGTCAATAATAGAATCTTGCGATGGAAGACCAGTTTAAATCAACTTTTTACAACTGCGCTTCCTTAAAAAACTATATAATTTCATGAAATTTGGTATTGGAAGGTTTTTGGGGTAGTCTAAATTGAGCATAGGCGTAGTTTTTAGTTGAAACATGAAAGTTGGGAATGTCTTGTTAGTTTGGGACTTTATGTTTCAGCTGCTGCTCTAAGAAGCGATTTCTACGATTTAGATAAAAATTAAGCTTGTGTTCATCTTCGGTTATCCCAAGTACCCTCCTATATGCAATTTCATCGAAATATGTTAATGAAAACCAAGAAAGTCACCCTTGAAATACAGTCGAATTCACCGGCCCAGACGCCCTGTATACAGGGTTATCCGGTACGGCAGAAAAACTTCCAAAGAAATGTTTCAGACAAAAGTGTAAGGATTTTTCCCTGGTTATCTGATGGTGACCTTGGATTTGACCTTGACCTATTTAAAAAACTTAATTTGACCTTCAAGTGACCTTGAAGGTCAAAGTCAAGGTCGAATCCAAGGTCACCATCAGATAACCAGGGAAAAATCCTTACACTTTTGTCTGAAACATTTTTTCCCAAAATGCTTTCTTCGAAAGTTTTTCTGCCATATCGGGACTTTCGGATAACCCTGCATAAATGACATGTGGATCATATAAAAACTAAACTTTATAATTTGAAATCCCCTAATACCCAATACATCCAATATCTCCGCTACCACTAATCGTTACAAGTCACAGTTTTGGGAAAAACTAAAGGTTAACATCGACTCGTACTTTATCAACTTAATACATACTTCTTTCTACAGAATGATTGTATTGTAGATATGCTCACACTAAATCGCGGTGTTCGGCAAATATATCTAGAGGTACATTTTACTTCGCAATCGTTTGACGATTAGATTTATATTGCATTGTCGTTGTTTGCGTTCTTCAACTCCCTTGCTCGACCCTCTATCACTCGGCACACGAAACTTCTTGACGCATGATTCAAAATCCACTAGCTCCCAGTTTTTCCCCAAGAGATATTTGCCGAACTCACTTAATAATGTCCAAAGTGTAGAATATCTACAGAAGAAATAGTCTATCTCAACCTACGCGAATTCATTTTACTTTGTCTTTATTCCTTGCATACTCCTAAATTTTTATGTACTTTTGTGCCCGCTACAAGCGTCTTCCGGCATTTAAAATATAGTTTGGGAAGATGGTAATACGTTTATTTCTGCGATGGCGCTTATTATTTTGTTTTTAATTCCACTCTTATGTAATATTTCAAATCGATTTCAAGAAATGTTCGAATTACGTGAATTAATTGAAAAATAATTAATTCCAACCCTCAAATAAGTTTAAATATTTATCACATATCATTAACTCTTTGTTTTAAATAAAATAATGTTGACGCTTCCAGCTTACTTTATTAAAAAAAATATATTCAGTAAGGCGGGCGTTCTTTCGTTCCATTATTTCAAAAAGAAACATTTCCAAACCGTTTACGATAACTTGAAACACAAATAATTTGATTATAATGCAGAAAAGCAATGGTGTTAATGAAGTACGTCGAGAAACTTTAAAGAGCGATTGATTCTTTGAGTGATTTTGAGACAAAACATGTCGCAAATCGATAGTTTTTGAAGTACAGTATTAAAATAAAAAAAAAATCATCTTTTCTAAAATATCTCTGAAGAAGTTTGATATGGAATGACAAAACTTAAGCTAAAGACCTAATTAAAGGAAAAAATCCACTGGTGTCTCTGCCACTGGTACAAGTATTTATATCCGAATTCAGTGGATTTTTACCTTCAATTAGATAAAACTCTAGACCAAGTTTCATCATTCTGCTTCAAACATCTTCAGAGGTGTTTTAAGAAAATTTCAAACTTGTTCAAATTTCAACATCCTGTATCTCGAAAACTATCGATTTCCATCCAAAGAATCACACCTTAAAGTTTATCAAAGTACTTAATTAACGCCTTGTATTACAGTCGTTAAACGACGCAGAAGAAATATCCCCATGTAACAACGCATTGCGACAGAACCTACGAGAAGAATAAAAATTGTTCGTCTAATTAACACAATTAAACCTATTGGTTTACTCCAATCCTCATCCACCCAATCAATCTCGGTAAACGGTAATTTCGACGATCCGTAACGACCGAATGAATTTGAGGTTATAAAACTCGACCACTCGAAATTAAAACTAAAAGAAAAACGTCCACTGGGCAGCTTCAGTACTGAAAACCTATATACAACGAAGCTGGACTTCATGCAGTAACGGTATCGGTGTCACTCTGAGGTAGCGAATAAGGTTTTTGCTTGCGCTGTCTCCTGCGCTCCCTCCTCTCCCCCATGACTAACCGTAGGTGTTCGAGCTTGCCGCGGGTGCGCAAGTTCTGATCCTCGCTGCAGGACGTCGACGCGGTCGGTTCGTCCTGTTGCTCGGGGGTGGGAGTCAGGGGCTTCTCGGAACCCTTACGGTTCACCCGCCGCAGTTCCGGCACTGAGCAAAGGAGATCATTTAGAATATGTACGATTGTGGCGACGTCGCGTCGTGGCCGGCCCTTCGGGTCCTGCAGGGCTGGGTTTAGGGCTCCGCTGAATGTGCCCGAGTACACACTTTCCCTTCGACCTGCAATACAAGCTCACTGATAAAAGTTGTCACTCTCAAATTTGAGCAATGAACTGGCCAATTTATGGTAATGCGACACTTTTACGGCAAATTTCTCGAATATGTTCATGATTTACCCTTTCCAGTCACTCTAATTTTTTAGGGGAAAATTACGCCACTTATTTTACCACCTACCTCTATCCCTGCCAGAAAACACATCGGCGGACAGTCTTCGAAGGGTGTGCTGCAGATTTCTGGAGGCCTGCAGCAAGCTCGGAGGGCTGGAAGGGGGCTGAGATGTCCCGGCGGAGGATGTCGAGGCCGAGGGCGCGGCTGTGGGTTTGGCACCAGACACAGTACTAAGCTGCAGTTGAATGAGCATCATGTGATCCCCGAGTCGCATGCTGAGGTTCAGGGGCGCCTTGCCACAGAGGAACTCATTGACTTGAGTATCGTTGAGAGATTCAAGGGCTTGCATGATGCCAATCTCTGGCCGTTGTGTCTAAAAAAAGATTATAAGTGGTGGAAATTATTCATTCACGTCCATATTTGTTTTACTCTTTACAATAACGATAATAAAATAAAATATCACGAAATAGTTCCGTCATATCTGTCAATTCTTAAATCAACCAACCACCAAAATGTGGGGTTTAACGAAACTTATCACTGCTGCTTCATTTAGATACTAGATGGCATTAAAGTTGGCAAATACCTTTTCTGCCAAATAACTTTATAACGCTCTGTCCAACTTAAATTAATTGTACGCGGGAGCGCAAACGGCTCCATCTGTCGTTTGTCGGTTGTCGCACCTATAACACACTAATGAGGACTAATAAGTCCGAAACCGATTTGTGCCTGATGGGTTAAACTGACAAACAATCCTAGCTGTTGCACTAGGTGGTGCGAGTATAATTCAATGCCGGGCGGGGCATATAGCTCTCGGAGTAGTTGTTTCTCGCAACACTGACAACTCCAACTTAAATTTAGTATGCTAGTAGTTGTGTTCAGGTTTCACTTCTAGTCATAATAAGTGAAGTAATTGCATGTACAGAACTCGTAAATTAAGTTTTATCACACTTTCTCAATGCAAATCTGATCTATTTGTTATCTAAAATTTTATTTATTTGGTAATACAAACATACTTTAGAAATTTATCGTATTGTCTCTCCTGAAAATTATTAGAAATAGTTACCATCCTGTGTAACAAATTTAGTTAAAAAAATGTATCGCATTCATTTCAGAAATCTCTCATTCTGCAAATTATCTATTATCGTTTCTCATAAATTTTATCTAATAAATAACGATAATCACAGAGCTTCAAAGAGTGACCGCAGAAATCGCCCGTTTTTTCGCAATTCACAGAGAACTAAAGAACATAGATAAAAATATGTTTTTGGTCTCAAATTACCCGTAAAAAATTAAGATGAGCATAGCTGTTAGTTTTTTGAAAATTTCCAAAAATCACCCCTATTTAGGGGTTGAAAAGACGCCCAAAATGAAGAATCGAATGATTCTTGATACAAAGAAAGATTTATTCTCATGACTGAAATAAGCATGTTGAATTAGAAAATCCACCCTTAAGTGCACTCAGGGGGTGGAGTAATCCCCAAAAATAGAGAATATCAGAAATAATTGTAAAAATTCAAAAAAATACATATTAAGATAATTCACATGCTAATAGTTTTTATATCAATTGGTAAAATTCAAAATCTTCATTTTTTGCATTTTTTCAACCATTAAGTAGGGGTGATTTTAAAATTTTCAAAATAGTAAAAGCTATGCTCATTTCAGTTTTTTACGATAACTAATTTGCGACCAAAAACATATTTTTATGTATTTTTTTTAATTCTCTGCGAATTGTGAAAAAAAAGGGCGAAAATCACAGGTTTTTTGCGGTCAATCTTTCATAGTCACAATTTACAGAATGAGAGAAATTCGAGAAGGGCACCCACAATTATTATGATTATGTGTTACTAAAAATGGTGATTATTTTCAATAATTCTGGGGAAAGAACATTCAATTTAAAGTTTCCTTACTTTATGATGCATTATTTCGTCAAACAAATCAGATTTGTGTCAAAAATACATTCATGATGTCCAATAAAACTAATTATACAAAAACCGTTAGGAATACAAAAATAATACAAGAGGAAAAAAATAAGGCCTTACCAAAAAACAAAAAAAATTTACTCACATAAAATAAATTGCAATTCCTTAAAGTAAAACTCATCAATGTAGCTAGCTTTGTCAGCATTTTTTATATGCATTAGGAAATAATTTGTTTGTTTTTTATTAGTTTTCATTGGTAATCAGTCATAACAGTGAATTCTTTTTAGAAAGGTAGATAGATTATTAAAAATAATCTCCTAAGACCCATTTCTTACTTTTTTCAAAAGATAAAATTAAAATAAAATATTTAGCAATCGATGTTGTTGTTCTAACTAATTTTTTTCAAAAGATTTACCTAAAATATTTAATATTTCATTAATTTTATTTTTGGTTTCTATAGTTTTCTGCGAACAAAAAAGTATAAAATATATCAGGAGGTTGTTTCTGGAAGTTTGAGTACCGGCACCATTTGATACCAGCGACTGTAAAAGCAAATATGCAAAGAATTCTTTGATTTCGATAAAATAAGCAATTTCAGTTTACAATTCATCAATAGAGTCAGATAGATTGATAACAATATGAAACGCAATAACAAAGCAAATTGAAATATCAATTACATCCACAACATTCAAAATAATGATTCATTTTCCTATGAATCAATTAGCTGTTTCTCTAAAATGGTGCCATCTCTGGGTTGTTTACTTTTGTCCTGAGGCATTCCAATGAAAGATGAAAAATGAAAATAGTAATTATTCTATTTATTTATTCTACTTTATAAGTATATATGGACAAAATTTTAATATACATAGTAAAAAAAAATGGTAAAATATTCTTCAAGACAATTACTTTTTCAAAGGCATTGGGCATATCCGTCTGATTAAATTTCACAGTTGAATTGATAGTCAAATAGCAATCATTTCCTAATTAATATCGTCGATACCATTAAGTTCCTTCCGTGAATAAAAGTTCGATTCTCATTATACATTATCAGGAATCAAACAGTCAGACATCAATAAAAAGAAGGCTTGAAAATCATGTACAGTGAGATGAAGTTCTTGAAGGTATAAAGTAATTTATAAAACTAATGGTATAATGTAATAATGTACATAAATATAATACAATGACGATAGAAATAAAATAATAATTTAAATTTGTTTGATTTATTGTTAGTTTAAAACCTTTATAATAGAGTAAAAGTATGAGAGCTAATAATAGAATATGTTTTTTAAAAACAAAATATTTTACTGATTATAAGATTAGGAGGAAGACACAGTACAAATTACTGAAAATATAGTTGATATCATAACTGATAATTTTACCAAGTGTTTTAGTAATTACATCATATTCCTAAAAAGCTTTTTAGTAAAAATTATGTGGGACAAAGCTCTTCTCTGTTAAGCAAATTTTGGAAATGTTGCATCGAATGCATGACTGGACTTTTTAATTCTAATCCTTAAAAAAGGCCAAAGGTTGATTATCCCACGGAGCCCTAACATCACAGGGCTCCAGTTGGTAGCTTCAGGGAACTTTTAAAAATAAAGTAAAAACAAACGGGATTCTTCCTACGACAGATGAACTGATTTAAAACTGTGTACTCTTCCTACGAGATAAGTATAGAAACAGTGCCAAATCACAGTGTACAAATCTTGACTTTTCATCTCTTAATTATCAAGTTATATCTTCAATTTAAAGATTTATCATTAGACAGTTTGTTTCGCTTTTACTGAATGCTGCATTGATTATTTAAGAAATTTTTGTGCAAGAAGATGGTACAGGAAATAGTTAACAATATTTAATATACATTTTTAAATAATTTGCAATATTAATTATAAAGGTTTACAGAAAAACATAATCCATGAATTAAGAAAAAAGAAAAGGTTTACAAAAAAAATGTAGACTGTTGCTGTCTATATAGTTTAATACTTGAAATTATTAGTCTACCGAAATCTTTATTTGCAAATGCTAGGTACTACATATCTTAGTTTATGGCCATTATTCAAAGTTTGAATTAGTTTTTAATTTAAGTTAGTTTTAGCAACTATAGAGAATATTTCTTTTAATAACAATTTGAAATATAATGTTTAGGAAACACAATTACACAATAGGTATATATATTTTTTTAATAAAAGGATAGATAATATAAAATTAATGGAGTAATACTAATACAAAATTGATTTTAAATAGATAATAGGTTCAATGGTAACTACCATAAATACATACATACATTTTATGTGTTTAGTAAAATTGATAAGCAAACTATTGAAGCAAATAAGAAAATCTTCCAATATAAAATTGGGATCAGTCACCGAGGTTTATTCACAATCAGGTGCATTATGCGCAAACATTACATTCTATGGGGGTTACATGCAATTTTAAGCCACATATTGGTTATTTTTTTCTTAAAATGAAATAATATGAAAAATGTTTTTGCCTGGATATCAACCAGCTGGTTGAGAATCTTACAAAATGTACCTCTTTTCATTTCATTATGATCTGTTTTATTTCAACTTACTAATTGGAAGCATAATTGTAACGAGATCCAGTTTTGAAGCACATTATTTCTATAATTTTTAATTAGTCGGTCGAAAAATAGATCCATTTTGTGACCAGCACATTTTACATAGGTTTACAATTTATTCAGTAGGCTTTTTTTATGTTTAATCTATTGAATTATGTTTCTTCAAATGTAGAATGTCTTCCGAAATTCTAACTAAATTAATGGTGACAAAAAATAAAGAAAAATGGCATTTATTCCTGTACGGTGAAGAAAGCTCGCTTTTTACTTTGTTGTCAGTTTTGTGATTCTATTTTAACCCTTTAATTTAGGCGTGAACGACCAATTTTGATTAAAATTATTCAACACAGAGGGTGGTTGAAATTGGAAGTCTTTATGGTCGAAGTCAAGCAGTGGTTAGTCCAATACAGGCTTTCAACAATTTTTTTGTTCAAATTCATGGCAGGTTGATCCCAAAACAAAGAGTTTTGATAAAGTTGTTAAGGTTTAAAGCAAAAAAATCTACTAAATGGTCAAAAACTGGCCCTATCATGTTGTGTAAAACAATTTGTAAGTCTACATTAAAGAAAAGAGAAGTAAATAATTGTTTTTTATAATTAATCCATATTTTTACTGATAAAAGGATTTACAAATTAACATTTTGCAACAATTTAAAACAAATGTATTTGTAATAATAGTTTAATATGTATTATAAGCAAAATGTCTTTATGTTGTGTTCACTTTCCTCCCCCATATTGAAATCATTAGCATTATCTCTCCTACACTACCCAAGCTGTTCTTTGAAGGTTATGGGTACAGCTATTGATTGGAGGTTTATCATTGTTTGTTCTATACCTTAATTTCTCATTTATAATTGTATTCCTTAATTCAATCAATATCAAACATTATTAAATGTACAAGTATTTATTTGCCAGAACAATGGGTCAGCTTTGTAATTCAAACAGGTTAACTTTTGTTGAATTAAGTATAAATTATAATGTGCAATGTTATGTAAAAATGATGGAAAAAATAATACATACTATAAGTCCAGTCTCAACATTCGGTAATAGAGTAATCCTAGACCCATCTGAAATCCCGTGTTGCACCAAATTTCCATCCTGCAATTGCCTAAAAACATATCAAATCAGAAAATAAAAAATAACTGTACTTTGGTTTGGAAACCCACTTATCTCTGAACAGTAAACATATTCTGTCTCTGGGCACTTTGAGTCTTTTAGAAACGAGTTTTTTCAGATTTTCAACGGTAATGTCCGGCTCAACACTCAAGTAGAAATCACCCCCCGTTGTGGGGCTCACATGTATATTTATTTGGGTATTTGGGCCACACCCCTGAGGAATGGGGTTACTAGAGGACTGTGAGGTGTTTTCCATATTTTCCGAGTCTTTTTTAGAGGCACTGCACTATTTTAAAGCACTATAACGCTTGTATAAACGCCTTTGTCACTAACTTTGTTACATGCACCATTTCTAAATGCATAAAAGTACATAAAAAAAACAATAGTATGTTACGGTACTGTAGCTGGAGTTTTCTGCCCGTGGTTGACAAGTATAGCTGCGCGTGGATGCTCGATATTTATTGGACACAAAGGACTGCGATCCGTAATTCTGGTTGCCTACCCTTCAGGGTTATAGATGGATTTTCTACAATCACGGTCCCACATACTTCTATCCGGTCCATAAACGGACCGTGCTCTACAATGACTTCACAGAGTAACAGATAACAGAATATTTTTCATTTCTCTATGGTTATATTGATCACTTTGTAATGTCTATGATCACAATGAATCAGGTGTTTACCTATTTTCTATCCTTCCAGATATTAGGTACCCGAAAAAAGGCAAAATATAACAAAAAGCTCGTCCATATTTTTAAATTTTATATAAAAACATAATTTACTGACAGTTTATAAATAGAGATCTGAATTGCGCCCTCTAGACATTAATCTAAAATGATATACCGCGCCATTATTCTATGGCTAGAAATTGGCCTCAATGATTTGGGATCGAGGGGGATTATCCCTCTTTATCCTGCCTCATCTCGTGTAGGCCTGGACAGCCTTCGTAGGTGGGCCCCATCCGTCGTCTACCCCGACCGCAAATGCGGCCGGTGTAGGCGCTTTGTGGGACCTCCTTTTGTCCTGGCTGGGCCCCGCCGGCTAGGGCCCTTTCTTCTGGCGCTCTTCTTGCTTCGCCGGCTCGTCTGTGTAAACCCCGGGGGTAGTGTCATGTTTATGTGTGGTATGGTTGGGTAGGGTAGTGCGGCTATGCAGCCTGGGATGCGCTTTGCTAAGGTGGCCCTTAGGCTAGCGCG